CTGCTCTCTGTCCAGAGAGCGGAGAGGGGGAAGAACTGCCTGGCCGGGCTGGGCCGATGCGCTTTAACTCACTGTGCAGCGCCCAAGAGCTAGGCGCTGCACATTACAAGAGTGGCGCCTAAGTCTGAGGCGCTGCAGTGCTGTCTGTGGGGCCGCAATTGGACCAGGACTGCCACGCTGGCATGAGGTGCGACGCCCAAGAAAGAGGCGCTGCATAGTAGTGTGTGGCGCCCAGCTGTCGAGCGCCACACAAAAGGGTCAGCAGAGTGAAATTTTTTCGGAACGAGGTCAGTTTGTGATTTGATTTGGACCTCAGGTCAAATATGTGATTTCTGCCTATTGCGGGGCCGTCCCAAAACAGTACAGTACTACTACATCGAGCTGTGTCGTCCATTAATGCTATTGGTCCATGTCCATGGAGCGAATGATTGATCTAGTCTAGTGCTACTGCTCGTTTCTTCATGTGGAGTATTTATTTGAATAAACAAAGAAGCTCAGGTGTGCCCTTCCGGGAGTAGAAACCGAGAGCTTTCACATTTGAGGGAAACCTTTCCCCCGCCGCTTTCTCTCTCTTCTTCCCACATCTGGTAAAAACACAGTGCTGCTCGCTCTCTACAACTTTACACATCCAAATCCGTCCAACTAGTAGCTCCACAGCGATGTGTCGACGCCGTCGTCCTGTTCGCGGTCCTCCCTCCACGCTCCGGCGGCCGGCGGCTCCATAAGCATGCCCTGCGCCAAGTTTGCGTAGTACGACCCGGCGTCCATGCCGCCGATCCAGTGCTCGTCGTCCAACCCAGACAAGTCGCTGGAGGTGATGGACGGCGCGCTCTCCTCGGACGTGGAGTCCGTGGAGGATGGCGCCTTCGACGCGTCGGCAGGGCGCTGCTGCCCCTGGAACGCCTTCAGGGCGACGGCCACGGCATCCTTGATCTCCTGAGCGGCAGCCAACTTGAACGACCCGGCCGCGTGCACGGGCATCATCCGCCAGGCGGAGTCGGCGAAGTTGAGGCACGCATCCCGGCCGGAGAGCGCGAGCGCGGCCGAGTCGTGCGCGCGCGCCGCCATCTCGGGGTCGGCGAAGGTGCCGAGCCAGATCCTGGAGTAAACCCGGCTTCCGGCGGCCGGCACGCGCAGCTCGCACACCCACACCCACTGCCCTTCCCGGCCACGGCGGCGCACGCCGCGGTACACCGGGTGGCGCGTCTCCTGCAACTTGTTCCGCCCCGCCCGCCGCTTCGGCGGCTCCGACCACACCGTCCGGTACTCCTCCTCCGGCCACACCGTCCTGTACTCTTGCCCTTCAAAATGCGGCCAGGCGCCGGCGGTGTCCATCACTCGTCGAGAGCGGGTTGTGGTATAGCGAGGTAGTTGTGTGTTCGGAGCTAGTGAGCCGGAGAGGTGGTGGAGCTTGAAAGGAGGATGGGACGTATATATAACTGGAGTGGAGACCAGTGACCCGCATGTCAATGAACCAATGGCAAGGTGCAGTGGAGCTGCGTCCATTATCAACATGTACGCATCAGCAGGTAGTTTCACGTACTCTTTTAGTATTGCAGAGCTACACGCCGGCCGATCGAGGGCCCCTCGATTGGTCTGCCGTCTAATCTCACTTAAATCAAAGACCTGGATCGTCCCATCCTATTTATGGCATTAACATGAAATCTCATTGCGGTGACAACAAAATCGTCCAGCAGTTCACAAGTCAAAGACAAGCATGCTTGTGCTAAAGTTCTATCCTGCAGCTTTTTCTAATGAAGAAAGATTTTGTGTTGGAGTGTGAGCTACCACATTTCCAGCTTGATACATTCAACCATCCAGGTATTAAAAACTGCAATTCACTTGCCAATATGACAAATTGAATAGTTAAGCCTAGCAAACAAAAATAGCGGCAGCAGGGACCATAAACCCTAGCAGTCGAGTATACCTCTGCCCCTCACTCCTCGCCGCCATCGCCAGCGAACGTCCGACGGCGCCAGCGGAACTTCTCCACTGCTGACATCTTCCTCTCCATCCTCCCCCTCTCCTCTCCAACCATTGTTTCCAGTCGCCGCCCCGCGCTTGCTCCGATGTTGTCGCCAAGGATATGGCGGGCAGGTCACTGAATCTGACCATCCCCGGGGTGGATCTCACCCCACTGGCACTCCTCAATGTTGAGGAAATCGGCAACTGGTAGTTGCACGCTCGGTTTGGGAATAGCGATTAATCGGTGAATCGGCCCATTAACTGGACGAATTGGTTGACCATTAATCGGTGGAATTTTAAATTTCATAGGTGCAATTTTTTTGGAGGAATTTGTTACATAGTACTTGAATATTATAGAAAATTACATTGCAAAATGAAGCAATTGGCACTGTTTTCTTTTCTTAATAGATCACGAACATGTATACAACAACAATCATCAACAAACATCCATGCGAGTATCAAAAATCAGCAACAAACATGTATATAACAGCATGTTTTTGTTGATTTCCGCCTGGGCCGCTACTCCGAGAGATTGCATGCAAATCCGTTAAGAAGGGCAGTGGAGGAGGCGACCTACTGGACATGGTCGATGTGTTCCTGCATAGAGTAAACTTTGCGGGCATTTTAGCACCTCCCCACCCATTGCTTCGTCGCAGACGCACCGCCCGATGACTATCCACCGCCGTCGCCGCTACCTCGTCACCTCCCTAGGCACTCGCTGCCCTTTTGCCTGAGTCTGAGCCTTTCGCCGATTGATGTCGTCGCCGGAATCGAGGTGAATCGCTGCTGCTACCAACTCGATCGATTCGTCGGATATCGCCTCAGATCTTCTTTCTTGTTGGCGGCTGCCGCATCTGACCGTGCGTACGCACCCTTGCAGGCCATTCCCACGCGTCGTCACCCGCTAGTTCGACCTCAACCTCGCCGACCGGCCGATACACCATCATCGCCTACCAAGTGTTCGATGGTTTGCCTAGGTTTTTTTTTCTGTTCTTGTCTCGTTTTGTTTTGTACAAATGAATTGAAACGAGTCGTTTGAATGGAAGATAAAGAGCTTGCGAGAGATGATCTTCGACTCATCGTCTTCAGAAGAGGAAGAAGAAGATGATATCTTTGAAATTGTTCTTGGCATGATTTGAATAATTTGGTTTGTAAACTATGAATTTGCAATATTCATGAATTGTGTGAAACTTATTTATTATGTTTGGTTTTCATATGGGTGCTAATATGTAGTTGCAATGCATTAAGTAAATTGGAATTGGAATACTTTGGCAAAAACAAAATTTTACTCCGCTATTTTTAGGGGATCGACTAGAACCTACCAAAACTTAGGGGTTTACTCCTGTCAAGCTCCACAATTTTTAGGGGAACGGCTAGAACGTACGAATACTTAGGGGTTTACTCCTCTCAAGCTCCACAATTTTTAGAGGATCGGCTATATCCACTAGGTTTTTGTGAGCAAATATCGGTTCTAGCCAATCTCGTAAACTTAGAGATCCGCTTTTACTATCATGCAAATAATTACTTCTCTATTTTTTAGGGATCAGCTAGAGATGCTCTAAGCAAACCTATTCCATGCCCGCCAGGGCCGGCCCTGAGGGGGTGGCAGGGGGCGGCCGCCCAGGGCCCCCGAAATCTAGGGCCCCTTCCAGGGTTCGCAAGGAGCCCATGGCCCAGACCATAAGGAGGCATCGACCTAGACGCACAGAGAAATCCATGTTTTCCTTCTTCCCATCGCGAGTTCGCCGCTTCGCGACGATTCTATTCCCCCGAGGGCCCCGATCACGAGTCGCGACGCCGATGTAGATCGCTCTCCGCCATGCGGCTGGCTGGTCCACGTCCCTGGTCCTGTTGTGTTATCTCCCGTTCGTGAGATGCCTCTCATGTGAAAGACGAAGCCACCCCACTTATAAGGTCATCCCTAACCTCATCTTTCTAGTTGGCACGTTCATATGGTGCAGCAGCAGTCAGATCTTAGAAGGTCTCGCATATGATGCAGTATAAAATTTTAATTTTGTGTGCCTGTTGCTCTATTTCTTACTTCAATCTGGACTTTGTCGACACAACACCAATCGCCTTATCTATTGAAAAGTTGCCTATTATGTGTTCGATTGTCGTTCTTTGCATTCTCTCTTCAAATCATCATGACTGCAAATTTAACTTAAAAATTGAAAGAAGGTCTCAGCTATACACACGTAACTTCAATCCAACATGGTTATATAATAAATCCACTCAGACTCCCGTAGCCGTCGGGTAGGTAAATGATATTTTATTGTTGTAAATGAAGCTTTTAAACTTTAAACCTTTCATCTTGATGTTTGCCCACTATCAGGTATTCGATTTTTCTAATTAAGTAAAGGAATACACTATTTACAGTTTTTGTTTTATTTTGGAACAATAGACAATAATAAGTTAGGTAAAGGAATGAATCTAAAAAGAAATGAGATTATTATTTTGATCTTTATAGTAGGGGCCTCGGGTTGTAATTTCGCCCTGGGCCGTGAAATATCAGGACCGGCCCTGATGCCCGTTACTCAAACCGAGACATATAAACTCCCTGGTGGATTTTATTTGAAGGCGGTAATATTTTCAATCAAGAACAAATAAAATGAATCCGATTCTAAATATGAACGCATAGTGCTGTCATTTCGAGCCACACAATTGCTCACAAAAAATCCAGTAGTTATTTGCATGACGGCAAAAGCAAGTTTTACTGTAATTAGCTGATAATGGATATCCAATGCATGCCCTAATCGTTATTACTGTATGCGATATATATTCAAACAGTTGTTCCTTACATGAGGAAAATCTAACCATAGCGACGCATCACAACTTGCGAGGGGCTGATGAAGCTATGTACCTAAGGTAGGGTCATGGACCTGTCCAAACTGACCTACCCAAGGACACCTCCAGAAGAAATCACATTTCAATCGACTTGGCGGTGTTTCATTCGACGGACTCGAAGACACTCGACCAAGAAGCAACCACTCGACCAAGATCCAACCACCCGACGGCCAGGAGACCTAAAGTCACTCCGCACGCTAACGGTCGGTCATTAAGTAGCTTTTATGGTCATCATAGCACTTTATTAGGGGCGTTACCAGTAACGCCCGACCTTAATGTACTTAAAACCCTGCATAACTGAGGGCCGGAGGGGTCTGGCAGACTCTATAGAAGCCACCCCCCTCCTCAGTGTAAGGGGTTTACACCCCTGTAATTCATACTCTCATAATCCAGTCGACAACCTCCGGACTCCGAGACGTAGGGCTATTACTTCCTCCGAGAAGGGCCTGAACTCGTAAACCTTGCGTTCTTACAACTTCTCCACAGCTAAGATCTTGCCTCTCCATACTTACCCCCCTACACTACTGTCAGACTTGGAACCACGACAGTTGGCGCCCACCGTGGGGCAGGTGTTTTAGCATTTGTTGGAGGAGTTGCGACCTTTTCCGACCCGAATCATCATGGTTTTCGGTGGAGTTTTGGTGGAGGGCCGCGAGATCCGTCTTGGTGCGCTCATGTTCATCGTCGACGACTCTGCTTGGCTCCAGGAGGCTCCGCTCGACGTGGACGCACTCCCTGTTCGCGGGGCAATGCACTTTAGCGCGTGCGTCCGCGGCGTTCTCCTGCGGCAACCGTCGACCCCCTACCGGTCGGCTCCTGTGTTGTCCTCCCTCCCCGTCTCCCGCCGGCGCAAGCACTCCGGTCGGTCGAGACTTCAGCGGTGGGTGAGACACGCGGTGGCACTGTAACACCCTCGATGCGGCTATATCTCCCATGTGTCGAAGCACGACTTAGAGGCATAACCGCATTAAAAGCAATGTCGCAAGTGAGGTAATCTTCACACAACCCATATAATACATAAAGGAAAGAGATACATAGTTGGCTTACAATCGCCACTTCACACAATTACATGAATAAGAATTACATCATCCAAGTACAATCAGGGCCCAACTACGGAGCCAAAATAAAAGAAGAACCCCAAATGCGACAAGGTCCCCGATCGACCCCAACTGGGCTCCACTACTGATCAACTAGAATGAAACAACATAAAGGACAAGATCTTCATCGAGCTCCTCCTCGAGCTTGGTTGCGTCACCTGCTCGGTAACATCGGCACCTGCAAACTGGTTTTGGAAGTATCTGTGAGCCACGGGGACTCAGCAATCTCGCACCCTCGCGATCAAGACTATTTAAGCTTATGGGTAAGGTAAAGGTATGAGATGGAGCTGCAGCAAGCGACTAGCATATATGGTGGCTAACATACGCAAATGAGAGCGAGAAGAGAAGGCAAAGCACGGTCAATAAAAGTATGATCAAGAAGTGATCCTAAAACAACCTACGTCAAGCATAACTCCAATACCGTGTTCA